TCGACAGCAAATCAATTATAGTAAAGATAAAAGTATTATAAAAATATAGTACATTTGTACTTGTATATCTTAGAAACAATTTAGTGTTTATGTGTGAAACATATATGTATATATGTATATTTGATTTAACTGTATTGTTCGAAATTGGCGGAAATGCTGAAACAAACAGCAGGAAGCATCTAACTTACACACTAACGGTCATTAAAACATTCCTGTTTCGACGCTTTGCACGAGAACCTTTAAGCAAATTCTTTAACCGTCCGTCTGTGTAACTTGCGGTTGTTATAAAAATTAAGGATCACGCGAGCTTTATTGCGCTTCATGGGTTTCGTCGAGCAAAAAACGCCCTATTTTCAATATTTTTTTTTGCCTATAAATTGTGAAATATTTTATTTAAACTTTCTATTATTCCGAAGATACATATTTGATAAGGATTTTGTGAAATTTTCTAAGGAAAATATTCAAAAATCGGTCATTACGACGTCATTTCCGACAGTCACTCGGAAAAGGTGCTTCCGCGTTGACAGCAGAACTTCCGACAGGATCATCAAAAGTGAAACGAAAAAAATACATGTTTGAACTAAGACCAACAACTAGATATTGAATGGAGAAAAAATCAAATAAAGTGAAAATTGTATTTTTGGCATACGTTAAAAAAACGGAAATTTTGGTGAAAATTTCTCGACGTTTTTTTGTTTTAAATAATTGTAATTGAATTCAAGACCTTGTAAAGGATATCTTGAACAGCTGTGTAAAATTTCATTGATTCGCATCGTTTGAGTAGTTCGCGATAAATCTTAACAACCGACTTGGAAAACACAGTTTCGAGAAAAACGCGTTTAAAGTTTTAAGTGACTATATACATGACCTCGAACGCGCAACTTTTCAAAGTTGTACTTCCAGAACTATTACTGGGATCAACTTGAGAATTTAGTACAATATTCTAGAGATGTTATAGAATTAAATAAGACAATATAAAAAATTGTGTTTTTTGAAGCCGTGAAACCTATGTAACCCCTTAAGAAGATCTAAAAAACTAATGAGCTTTTGTAAAAAGCTCTTATTGACAAAAATAAGCTGGGATGTTGGGATGTTTGACCTGTGCAGTTAATGACCTTAAGTGATCTTAAGGAGAAGTCATGTTTAGCTCATCGCTTGATAACATTGGCGTCACGCCATATATGTCTAGTATATGTTTGGTTGTAGACCAATAAAGTGCAATTGCTGTTCATTCGTTGGCCATCCAATCTTGAATTTCTCTTTGTATACAATACATGGTGCTTATTCGCCCCAAGTTTTTGTTAAAGTTTCTCAATGACTCTTCACATGTCATCATAAAACCCGACGAAAAGTCAACTAAACAATGTTTTTTTTTTGAAAGCAGTAATATCTATATTTCGGAGGAGTTGCAAAGAAATAAGAATGTTTTCATAAAAAATTTAGACTGCCTTGAACCACGCGTTCCGCATACGTCTCCTGTAGTGACAAAACACAGATCGTACATAAGCATCAGCAACTAAGGCGACGTTAACTTACTAAAATATATTTGACCTTACCTGCACCTCAATATCAGTCATGGCCAGGAAATTGGCTGCCTTTTCGCCTTTATAACAATTATCTATATGAAATCAGAAAAAAATGCGTCTGTGGCGTGTTGCAGTTTGGCGCGTGTGTGTTTAGACTATCTAATGAAATTATCAATCCATTTTGAACTTACTAACAAGTTCAAACTGATAAGAGCTCATGACATTCCCCATTATGTTAAACCACACTATGAATACAATGGTGTTTTACTATGTAAATTAGTTCAGCGGATGAGTATTTTCAAAATTCATAGCTTCCTTCTTGTAGCTTAAAGTTTTCAGTCACCAAAATATTAGGTACAAATCGACAAAAATAAATCTTATAATACAAATATATATTGTACTTATGTGGTTATAAGTATAATATATAGTACAATAAGATTAAATAAGTATCATAATTAGTTACTATTAATTGCATCATTATTTCAAACAACAGCTGATAACTGGTATAAAATGGCGTTCAAACTAAATCTATATTTCTCGGGAAACAAGAACAAAACCTGCTGATGATGGAACGATGTTGGCTTCGCAGCGTTCGATAAGCAATTGACAAGTTAGCATTGAGCAAAAGATATTAGGTCCAGTACATCCGAATTGGACTTGGTTATATCCGTCGATTCAGAATCAACTTTAGTTATAAGGCAAGTTCTAAGAAATCTACTTATTAATACATTAAGTACTACATTACTTATACAATTCCTTAGCACGACTTCAGTCGACACCCATGTATTAATATAATATACATATATAAAATAGTGTTGAGGAGCTATCTTATTAATCTAATATAGATTGTTACGTTTTAATGACCGTTAGTGTGTAGATACGTATATGATGTGTGCATCTACAGTTATCTGCGGTTGTTACATAAAGTGTACATGCCCTCTTTACAAATACTAATTCAAAGGCAGTTGTATCTATCTATACGCCAATAATCTTATGTTGTTATTATTATTTATCGCTTATGAGTTTTAGCAAAGGCGAATGCCAATTAATAATTGCGCAAATTGATTGTTTGCACAATAGAAATTCAGTGAGTATTTTGCATTTCTATTATCCAAGAATTTATTAGCGAAAACATTCCAAGTTCATTTCAATAAAAATTGTGTCAAACTCTCATTTCTGCTTAACTAATTGATGATTTCTTCTTTTTATATTTGTAATCATATAAGTCATTCCTCATTGAAATTAAGCAGCGTTATGCAAATGCGGAATTTGCTGTAATCAAGAGCATGATAACTGTTCAATTGGCTTTCCTTTTCAAAGCAGGTTGACATGAAGAATTTACTTAACTTTGCTAACGTACAATAAAACTTCAGACCTTTGAAAGTACACCTTCAGTGACTTTTGAAATTACCCACAGTTATGCATATGTTATAGGTCCTTCGAGAATCTTCTGGAATTTTCCTAATCCTCTATTTACCGTAACAAAGATTTCCCTAAGAATGTACAGTTTCTCGTCATACCAGCAGCTGTAATATTTTTAAAAGGAATGCACCGAGCTCTGAGGTAGATGAGAGATCAAATGAGAGAATACAATAACATATCATCTAGATAGATGAGAGATTAAATGAGAGAATGCATAACGTTCTTTCTCAGTCAGTTTATAAAAATTATAAAACCTTCAATTGTCAAACCTATGATGACAAAAAAATGATTAACAAAACGGAAAGAATATTTTAGTTCCGCCTTAACTTTCTATATGTTTAACAGTACTTCTATATGCATAAATATTGTATATTTTATGTCATTTTTGATTCTAAATTATTATTAGTTATTATTCTTGAAACAAAATGACCTATTTAGAAGCTGTACAAGTGAGTTGCATCAAGTCTGTGGAATCAACCCCGTTAACTACGACGAGTTGAGAGCATAATAAGCGTCTGAACGGATTTATTTATCATACAATACGTAACAATTAACTTGTATCTCATGTAAAACTTCTTCTTTGATATTTATCTTCTGCAGTCCCTGGTGGAAAAATTTGTATCTCATGAAGTTAAGGTCTTTTTAAATAATTTTATTAGTTCTAACTATAATAAACTATAATCCAACTATATAGTTTGTAAACTTTGGACTTTGATTCGATTGATCCATTATATAGAACAGTACAGACTACTTTTGGGCCATATTATTTTCTACAACATACTTTACGTATTTTAGGAAAAATAACTTTTTCGCGACCTATGATCGAATAACTGCGAAAGATTGATGCAGTGACAATTCCTCCCTGGTTCGCAGATCTCAGTAGGGCCCGGTGCTCTGCAATAATGTTTTACAGATTTTGTTCTTCAACAATTCACTGCAATCATCAATTGATTGCTGAAAAATTTCTTAGTAACATAGTAAATAAGGTTTGGCTTAAGAATTCACAATTATGCTGTGATGAACTTTGTTTGCAATAAGCCAATTTCAGTATGATTCGTAATGAACATGATGAAATGAAGAAGATATTTTTTCACATTGAAATAAACACAACAACTACTTGTAGTGCCTTGGGTGATGAAGCTTAAGAGATACCTATGTGACCCGTGACAACTTCTAAAATGGTATTTAATATGATTTTATTGTATTACAGTAATTTTTTCGATTATTCGTGAATATTATACCCTGTACAGGGAAACGTCAGGGACCATATAAAATAAACATATATATAAATAATAAGCTGAGTCCATTTAACCATGTCCATCTCTCTGTATATACGCGAACTAGTCCTTCAGTTTTTGAGATATCGATCTAATATTTTGTTCATGTCCTTTTCTCCCCAAAGAGCTGCTCATTTGTCAACCACTATAGCATATAGCTGACATACAAACCGACCGATCGAAATCGAGTCCTCGTATGGAAAACCTTTTTATAACAAGATATCTTCACGAAATTTGGCACAGCTCATTTATTGTCTAAAGCAACCTTATAATCTTCGAAACTCTTGTTCAGATCGGATCACTAAACCATATAGCAGAGACATATAGTTGCCATACAAACTGACCGCTCAAAATCCAGATAACCTTTTTTATACCCTTTTATGCTAGAAAAAATACACCTGGCAGAGTATTATAGTTCGGTGCAGCCAAAGTTAAGATTGTTTCTTGTTTTGTGTTAATTTATTAGTTAGTCTAACATAATAAAGGAAATGTTAAAAATTAAATAACAAGATATATATGCACATATGTCTACAATTATTGAAATTTTATTGGTTTTTGGCGAAATTTATTTGATTTTCATTCATTATAAAAAATTAATAAATAAAATGAACTAAAATTCGATACAAATATGGCAACACCACAGTGATCTTGTCTCTTAACAGTGTTGTATATGAAAAGTAGTACGCTGTCTATACTGCAAAATGCTTAAAGCCATGAATAAAGTGTGATGACTCTCTTCCATTTAGTAAATCTTATCTTGTTGATTATGCGAGTATAAATATTTAATTGATTGTGCGCAATATACAGCATGAATTCTATTAGACCTGTGAAAAGGCACAAGTATGTACCTTAAATTACATTTTCAAGCCGGCTGGTAGCACGGCATAGTAGAAATGTATATGTTCGAATTAAATTTGTTGATTTGCTCTCAGTGTTCAATTGGACGATCTTTGTAGATATTTTCAGTGGTAATTTTTCAAGTAAATTAAAAAATATTAAATAAAACGCTAAAGAATACTTCAAATATATAACAAAGTGCTTAAATTACATGAAAGTAATTGAATTTGTATTTAAATTACATGTTTTTGATGTGACTACAATTGGCTACATTTGTTTGCGTATACGCAGGAGAAAATAAAAACCGGAAGCAATTTTTAAGAGAGACCCACTGCGCGAGAGCAAAAAGCCAAAGCAAAAAAAAAAACACAAACAAAAACAAAACACAACATTCCTATAAGCATTTCATTAAGCCGCCGTTGTATGCCTGTTCATATGTATGTGTGAGTGTGGGAAGTAAAATTGTCGCAATACAAATTCGATTGTTGCAAAGTTGCCGATCGTGCGTGAGTTTGAGGCTGAAAGAGCGTGCTAGCAAGAGAGTGAGATCTGTGAATCTGCTATTTGTGCGTTTTGTGTCGCAGATACATAGTTAGTTAGATACATTTACCATTGGATGCACTTGTATTCACTTAGTAGGTAAAAGATGTCAAGCATCTGCTTATAAAAATTGGTGTTTAGTGTAACTGCAAGTTGAGTGAAGTGAAAATGCATAAAATGCTAGTTTGTAATTGAGGAAATGGTATGATTTCTTTATTTTATAAACAAATAAGTGCAATTTGTTCGATTTTCTTAAAAAATTAAGCAAGAATTGTGTAAAGTGCTGTGAAAGCAAACCCACAGAAAATGAAATATCCGACTTGTTGAACGCTACTGGGCCAGGGAAGCCCTCTAAATGTGTCTCAGTGATCGTACAGCCGAATAAGTTGATATTTCTCCAAATTCCAATTCAATTTCAGCAAAAAATGTGTGTGAAACTCTTGCATAGTTAGTGCCTACAGTTTTTGAAGAAATCTTAAACTGAGTTTAATCTCGAAGAGTTAAATCTAATTGACTTGTGCGCCACTCAAGTTCAGCGCAAGCAATAAGTGACCCCGATTCGGTAAAACCAGAAAAGGATGTTAGAAATTAATAGCATGAGATATGCACACGACAATTGTTTTTATATAACAAAAGTGTTATTTTTTTCAATTAAATTCATAAGCAATAACAATATTCATACTCCCTTCATGAATAAAAATATAATATATACTGACACATACATATGTATATATGTTAATGTATGCGTAGAAAGCAGCAACTTGGCGGTAAATCTGAAACGTTTTTATCGCCAACGTAAATCTAATGACATATCATATACATATGTCATACATACATACATATATACATATGGATTATATGTAGGCGCGTCTATACCGCCTCAAAGTTGTGCGACAACTCTAGCAGACGATCGCTGAAGTGTAACACTTTTCCTTTTGATACTGATACATACCATTTATGTAGGTAGCCCCATAATTACATGTCTAAATATGTAGAAAGGTGCATAGATCGGTATGTAGGCCTAAGATATATTCCGGCTTAGCAAATATAATTATGTTGCGCATATTGACAAAATCATATTAAATAGATTTTATGCTCGGTGACATCTCTTTTACTTTCTCCACATAAAAATAAAACTATTTGGTTTTTATTTAGTTTTGGGTTAAGTGTTGAGAAAGTATCTTATGATATAGTACAAAGACAACTACGGACTGAAAAAAAACTGTGTATATATTCACGTATTTTAATTCAGTTCTTAGTATCGCCTTCAAAATATACTCCTGAGCCAATATAATTATGCCAACGCTTAATCCACTTGTTAGAGGCCTCGGCTGAGATGACCTTCAGTGCCTTCATCGAATTTGGGTTTTTTCGATTTCGGCTAATTTTTCGAGCCCTATTCGCCAATCTACCAGTCCGGGTCAAATTTGATCATATGATATATTAAACTGCAAGTGAAAAAGGTCGAAAAGAGGATTAAAATTGTACAATAATCGATTTTCAAACGATATTAAGACGCATTCCGAAAATAAAATTATTTTCGCTTCAGTGATATCTATCTTCATATTATGCGACTAATGAAGTCCTTAAGAAAATATCGAAAAAGTAATAGATTTTAGGAAATACATTTCTTTAGAAAAACCAGTTATAATTTTTATTATTTGTGTAATGATGCTCGAAAAACAACATTTCAGGCACAATGTTATTATGGCCGCTTTATAATCGGTCCATAGTCAACTACATACTCGACAATAATATAAAAATAGTGTATGAAGAATTAATCCATCTTAAGTATTTGTATGCGGAATTTCTTCGGCACTTTTTATTTTTTTAGCGAAAATCAAAGAACTAAAAAATTAAAAAAATCACAAGAAGTGTTCAATATTATGTTTCCATGGTTCTAAACCATCTCTAACATTTCTTCAACTTTCTTATGTAAATTTTAGAATTTTTCGCGTCTTCACTACCAATCTGGGTTATAAAGAAGCATAGCTTGTGTATACGTAACACTTAAATTTCGTTTATTTATCTCTATTTTATTGCCTTCTCATTTACGCTTTGTTGAAATTCTTTGCCTCTCATGAATGGCATGAAGTGAAAAGTAACGCTTTGGATGGTATTTGCTTAGACGCCAATGTCACATGAATTTTTATTTCAACACACATAAATATATCAACGCTTATATGAATATGCGCATGCATATTTAAATATTCCAAAATTTGTAGACGATTACAAAAGTTTTAGTAATCATTTGTACTAAACATTTGTCTTGATACTTATTCTGATCGCTAAGCGTGAAGCATAAAAAAATTATCGTTAAACACTTTTATTTTGAATTGTGTGTAAGTGAGACCTATACGGTCGTTACGTTATGCGTGGAGCAAATAATTACCTCTTGATTAAAAAAATTACACTCTTTCGCGCAAATAAACGCAAAATTTTAGGATTTAGGAAATTTTAAAATGTATACCAATTTACTAAAAAAAAACAAAAAACATTACCTTCCTAAATGAAGAAATAACAGCTACTGAGACAGCTCTCTTAGCACTATTGGGGTGATTAGGGACTTCGTACGGAATGCCCAGTACGTTTCTTATAAGGTTTCTATAACAATTTCTGTTTATTGGAATTCTAAATCGCAGAATTTTATTAAAGAAATATAAAGAAATTCTTCGTAGAGTTAACAGAAACTTATTTTCAAAAATCACAATACGAAAGATCTAAAGTCACGAATGGTGCCATTTGGACAACAAAAAAGGTCAGTCCTCAGAGGATGCTCAGAACTCCTAAGTATGCAAAGGCCCACGCATATCAATAAAGGCCTTTGAGCGTGCCAAAATTTAGTTGAGGTGGCTAATATCAATTCGCCTGGTTCGGGGAAAGTGTGACTTTGGAGATACTTTAAATTTAGTCTTGCGAAAGTTGGACAGTGAAGGTGGAAGTATTTAGATCGTTCCCCGTCGCCACGAATTTGCATCCTTCAACATTTTTAGGCTCACAGGAAATGTACAGATAAGACTGCGTCGAATAAGAACTCCTTTTTTTGCGGCGTGATGAACCTTGCTGGTCAACTAATTCTATAGACTACTTTGGCTCTACCGTAGGTCAGAAGCATCTCGCAGCCGCACAATTGCTGGTTGCTAACCAACGCTTACTGAGCTCGCGCAAGGAGCAAAAGTCCAGTGCTAGCATGCAAAACGAGAACATCGACTCGTTCTCAGTCTTAAGAGAATAGGTTAAGCTCATCAGCTATGTTAGTAGAGCTTGGACATATTTTTTAATTTTAGAGCTTTGAGAAGAACATTTGATAAATATTTAAGAAATTAATTATTCTCAAATGTTTGAAACTATGTATGTTTACTGGATGGTAATACATGTAGGAGAGAAGCCTGCTCTAAGGATTTTTTACACAATCTGTTCTCTACTACTCAACTTAAAGTCAATAATTTTTACAAGAAGTGAGGGATTTTTCAAATGTCATCTCCAATATGCTGTAACATTTTTAGCTGACATTTCGATGATCAAATATTGCCATTTACAGTTAGTTGTAGTGCCATTAATTTGTACTCAAGTTTCCTGCGAATAACTAATGGATTTTAAAATAAAATTGCATTCATATTGGAAGTAAAAAAAAATTTTAAACCTGAAAAAAATGTTTCGACTCCGACTCGGCACTTTAACACTAAAACTCTCTCTCAATGGAAAATAAATTTACTTTTTTCTAAAAAAAAACACCCTCAACAAGTAATAATCAGCAATAAAAAAAAATATTAATGGTATAGCTAAAATAAATCTCAGTTATTTCTCCTTTTAAATTTGTAGACTACTTAAAAATGTCTAAGGTCAAGGAGGACCATTGGTAGACTTTGGGGTCAACAATACCCAACTACAGCATAAACAAACGGCAAATGCCTTAAGCAATGACTAAGACGTCTAATAAAATGTCTGGTATTACTAACAACAACAACAACAACAATAATAGTAATAACAATATAAACAAACTGAGTGAAAAGTTTTTAAGTACAAACAAAACAAAAACGTTAGAAGCGTCGTCACACACATTGTCAACTGGTGTCAACACCACAACAAACAACAATAATAATAACAACGCCATCTCCCATAATAACCCAAAATCGAATAATAACAACGACTGTGACAAAATAACACAACAGCAATTTTCTGCTACGATTTCGAGTAAATTACAAGCACCACAAACCCGGCGCTCGCTGCCAGCTCCCAGTGCTGTGCAAACCTTGGCGCAACGCTCACTCCAACAGCAGCAACAGCAAAGCGTGACGACAAACTCATCGGTATTGCCATCAGCCAACCCAATTACAAAATACTCAAACGGTGCCACATTACCTTCACACCAGCTACAGACCATCGCCACTGTACACCAACATCACCCACCGCAGCAACAGCAACAGCACACGGCCGAGCCGACGACAACTGGAACAACAACTGTTGGCATTTCATCGGACGCGCAGCAACAACAATCACACCCAAAATCCTTGAATAGCGCAAAGGATAAGCGTCCTCACAACCATAACCACCACCAGCAACACCAACACCACCCACAGCACCAACCACACCATCACAGCCAACAACAACAGCAGCAAACAGTTTCGAAACATTTGACTGGCGAGATTGAAGGCACTTCGTCCATTATTAACGGTATCACTTTACAGCAGCAACGAAACGCCTACAATCTGCAGGCGTTGAAAGCTGCCAATCATTTGAAGGCGCCAGCACATTCCATACCGCCACGCTATCAACCACCACCCCAACCGGCTGGCAACCAGGCGGGCATATTGAAGCACATAAACACACTGCGCAGCGGCGGAGCAGAGAGTGCCGAGACCTTCGGCCAGCGACAGTCGGCGACGGGCGGCAGCAAACAGCTTGCGTCCGCGAATTTCGATACTACGCATTTCAATCTTAAATATCCGCCAGACATACCACAATTGTCGCCTGTCTATATACCGGACTCGCTGAAATTAAACAGTGGCAGTGCTCGTTACTTGCCAACGCAACAGACATCGCTTGCACAGCGTCAAACTGCGCGGCTTGCTGGTGGTGCCACGAATCCGCAATATTTCTATAATACGCAACAACACCAACAGCAGTATCGGCAACAACAAGCGGAACAGCAGCAACAACAACAACAACAGCATCAACAAGATATGCTTAAGTTTGTGCGTAAAAGTGATCAGGACCATCCATCACCAAATGCTTCGATCACCTCCAGTGCCGCTGCTGTGCCGACAGGCACCACTCGTCTTACCGCCGAACAGAATCGGCAATTGCAGGTAAATATTTGTTGAAAAATCGATTATTTTGTTGTTAGTTAAGAATTACTACTTAAAACTCGACAATCTTAGTCCGTGGTCTGTACCAAAAACTTGTTGTTGTTACAAGTATATCGCGTTCTCATATACTATATGAGTGCTCAGAGACTCGTTGATTTGCGTCCCGACCGCGGACAAATCCAAAATTATGGAAAAAGTGTATATTCTCTTTAAAATCGACCACATGACTCGGCCTTTAGTGAACATAATCTGGGTGGGTTATCAAAGTAGTAACAGTATCAGTTCTTTAGGCTAATTGTTTCAAAAATGTCAGGATACGTCAGCCTCCTATCCGAAAACTACAGTTCTGCTGCTTGGAAAATTTACGTTAACTTTGTCAGCTTTGTTTGATATCCAAAATAAAGGGGAGGCCCTCTTCAATACCATTAAACGAACTACCGGGTTGAGGTTATTTCTCAATGCCATTTTCGATAGTACTAAAAATGTTTAAGAACTGCGCAGAGTTTGACCGCTGCTTTAGCAATTTTATTATCTAAAGCAAATACGAATAATTATTATTTAAATACTATAAAAAAGGCTTATTGATATATTGTATCAACCAAGCAAAGTTTTAGATTCCCTGATAAATGTTTCACAATATGGATTTAAAGAAGAGTAAAGAGGAGCTATCGATAATATCCAAGCTATAGTAGCGTTTAAAAATAGAAGATCCGCAAACCCTAACTTATCAAAAAACCGAACTATATTTATATCTAGATTTATATTATATATATTAATATATACCATATATATAATACTTCCCTTAATTTTAAAATATTTTTTACTTTCAACCGACCAGGGTCTCATTAACGAACTACGCGTCTTAAAGGAACAGAATCAACGTTTACTCGATGACAATCAGGAATTGCGCGACTTGTGTTGCTTTCTAGATGACGATCGTCAAAAGGGCCGGAAGCTTGCTCGAGAATGGCAGCGTTTTGGCAGATATACAGCCAGTGTGATGAGACAGGAGGTGGCAGCATATCAGGTAGTGTAATGATCTCATGATTATGGTCTAAATACTTATATAATGATTTCTTGTAAAGCACAAGCTACGACAACTCGACGACAAACAACAAGAACTAATTACCGATAATCTGGAACTGAAGGAGTTGTGCCTGTACTTGGACGAGGAACGCACACATATTGCGGCGAATGCACTCTGTGCCAATTGTGGCAGCTCGGTACGCAATCCGTTACGGGATGATGGTGATGGCAGTAGTTCGAGCACAAATGCAGAAGAAACATTATCGGCGTTAAGGAACTATGAGCGCCAAATGCCCGTAAGTACAGCATTTGAACAATATTGGAACTTTTTCTTTTTTTTGAAAGGAAATTGTTAATATAGAGATTTTGGAAAGATGCTTAACATACCTTATCCTTTAGGTGTGTTTTATACAAATTTTTGATAATTTTTGCTTCAAATTATATGGTTGGAAATATCGCTAAAAATATTAGGACTTGAAAAGTTGTATATTTTTCATGACTAAATACAAATTATATTTCAAAATCGGGTCAATTGGCTATCCGGCACTGTGCGTTATAGTCGTCCAATTTCTTCTTTTCGACAAAATTTTCGATAGTTCCAGTATCTCTAAAACTGCGGAACCACTAACCTAATTTAGCGATGTCTGTCTGTCTGCCTGTGTATACGCGAACTAGTCCCTCAGTTTTCGAGATATAGATCTGATATTTTTTTTATTGACGTTCTTTTCTCCCCAAAAAAAACTGCAAACCTTTCGCAAACTGAACGATCAAAAACTAGTTCTTATATAGAAAACTTTTTTATTTAACGAAATATTGTCACTAAATTAGGATTGTTGCCCAAGCCAATAGTAAAATGTCTGAACAAATTATTCAGATCGTACCGTTATAGCATATAGATGTCATATAAACTGTACTATCAAAATCAAGTCCTTATATGAAAAAAATTTTATTTGTGAGATTCGGCGCCAGCGAAGTTACATTTTTTTCTTGTTTTAGGTTATCGGTTGGCGTGTTTATATATGTGTATATAAAAAAAAAACTTATTTTCAATTTGTTTGATATCCTTCCGCTTTTAGGAAGCAACGCTACGTACAACGCTAAGTGATCAGACCGTCCAATACGTACGCTCGTTGGAACGACGCATACGACAATTGGAAGAGGAACGTGTTGGTACAACAACACCGACATCCAATATCCTAGCGACACAGCATAACCAAACGCAAGCACCAACACCGCAAACACAGCAACATCAACAACAACAACAGCAACAGTCGCAACAACAACCAGCACAAAATCCACTAATCGATCCGATATCGAGTCGACCCGAAGCTGTAGTGCGTGCTCTCCAAGTACTCGAGGTACGCGAGCAATTGGAACGAGATCGTCTCAGTGGACTCATTGAGAACTCAAGAGACCAAATGGATGACGGCGAAAAGGCTTTGGTGCGTGAAATGTGTAATGTAGTGTGGCGTAAACTCGAAAGTAATGTGCCGAACGTGTCGAGTAGTATGTAATAATGTTAACAGAAAAAGTAAGATGAAGAAGTAGAAGAAAATATTGCCAATTTCAATCATTAAATGATTCACTAATATTCACATGCACATACACATCTACAAAAGTATAAAGCATATGCTATTGTCCTGGAAGGGTTTGATAGAGAACTCTCATACATCACAACTTATTACATACATTATTTATATACAAACATACTAATGTACGTACATATATTATGAAATAATAAAGCGTGTTTTTTTTTTTAAATATGCAAACAATTGGTAACGGTTTTTAATTAATATGTATTGATGCTTGAATTTTTATGCCCTGAACAGGTTATACACAGTTTGGCACAAAGTTTAGTAGCTCAGTTTTTGAGATTTAGAGCTGAAATTTTGCACACATCCTTTTCTCTCCAAGAAGCTGCTCCTGTGTCGATATCGCCGGTATATCTCTACTACTATATAATATAGCTGCAATACAAACTGATCGATCAAAATCAAGGCCTTATATGAAAAACTTTTTTATTTGAAAAGACATCTTCACGAAATTTGACATAGATTATTGTGAAAGGTAGCGCTACAATCTCCAAACAAATTGTTCAGATCACACCGCTATAGCATATAGCTGCCATTCAAACTGACCGATCATGTAAATTTCCTTTTTGTAGCCTTTCAAGCTATAAGAAATGCATCTGTGAAGATTGAAAATTTTTACCCCAGTTATTCATACGACTCGTTAATACGTTTATTAAAATTTATTAAACAAAAATCTATTTCTTTTAAACTTTTGCATACCTGACTTTTGCAAAACTTAACACAACTATATCAAAAGTTGAACGATATTTTGAACTTATTCAAAAACGACAAAGGGAAAACGAAATTTAAATAAATTTACATACGTACATATTTACATATTGCTAACAACTATTGTTAAGATACACATATTGATAATTAAGCACATGCTCTGTTTCACAAGATAAACAATATCGGCAAGCAATGCTCACGACGCACTACTCTCTGTCAATGCGCTCGCCCTTGGAGGCTCTGCTCGTGCGTCTTTTTAATCCCGATATACGACAATTGTTTGTGCTAGACATACAAATCGGCGAGACACTTGGCGGTTTGCCATACATATGCAGTCGCTCGATACGCTGTTTCGGCGTCGGATTCAATTCCATTTTCATTATGTTATTACACGATGAATTTGACAATCTGCTGGCATTGAGCGAAGCGGCGCTTTTATTAACACTATCATTTTCCCAATCAATATGCTTAAATGATGTATCATTTGTTGGTGTTGTTACTGTTGCTTTGGCTTTTGTTGTAGTTGGTGTACCCAATGCGGCTGCTACCGATTCCGCCCGCTTTCTGGCACGTGTGCGCATGTGCGTTTGCTGTCGTGCTGGTGGCTGTGGTGTGCTGGTGCTCATGGCGGCTGAGGTGAAAAATTCTTGCAAATTTGGTATGGGTGTGGCAGGTGGTGATTTGGATTCATTGGCAATTGATGCAGCGGTTGTTGCGCCGCTTCGCTTCGTTGGTGTTTCGACCATGCTACTTTCGGACTTGAAATCCAGGTGTTTTGAAGATTTCGCCTTCACTTTGTTACTCTTATTTAAGGACAACAGATTCTTACGCGCTATTATACCACGACTAGCGCGATAATCTGGCGGAGTTTTAACTGCCAATTCGCTCAAACTGGAATGCGGGATGGTCGTTTGTATGTGAGCTAACGGACTGCGTTCACCACAAATCGATTTACAAATGAATTTTGGTGTTTGAGACGGAGATGCTGATATTCGTGCATTTTGTGCGCCATCGCAATCGTTACGTTTTCTTTTATTCAAACCATTCAATGCTGCTTCGTTTTTATCGGCTAAGTCATCGATAACTGGACCTATAGGCCACTCAGAAAACAGCAAATTATCTAACGATTTAGTTTCTGAATTCTCTTTGATATTTTCAGCCTTCAAGTTTTCACTGACAGGCAGCTCCGGTAAGCGCTCTAATATACTAGCAGCTCTTTGCTTTGCCTCTTCCGATATTACAATCGCTTTTTTAGATGCCGTCGAGAAACCTGGAAGATTTATTTTGCATTCATTTGCAGTGTTTGCATTAGCCATTTTTTTATTCACCAATACTTCATCACCATTCTCTTCGTCCTCCCCTTCTACAGGCCACTCACTAAATTGTAAATTCTCTAAAGATCGCTTAACATCATCCTCAGCACTTTCTTTTTGATATTCCATCACGTCTGCTACTAAGCGCGCAGCTCGTTTTTTAGCATCATCACTTATTTGTATCGTTTTTCTTGAAGCAGTGGGAAATCCAGTCAATTTATTCGCATCAAGCTCCGCTTCCATGTCATCTTTTGGCAGTTGCTCTAGTATTTTGAACTCTTGTTCTTGTGCCTCCTTGGATATATTTATTGATTTACTTGAAGCTGTGCGAAAGCCAATGCATAACACTTCACTAGTCGAGTCATTTTTTGAAGTAGCCTCATTTTTTAGACAGATTTCGTCATGTGGGAGTGGCGTTAGCGTCTTTAGGATAGGCACTACCGGCTGCTTTGCTTCATTTGAAATTGTGATTACTTTATGGGAGAACGCGGTAAACCCGCCAAAGTCCGACATTTCTTTACATTGGATATTGACATTATTGTGGACAACGTACGGATTTACTGAGGTGCCAACTAAGTCATCACTTGTCGTCTTAGAAATGGTTATTGTTCGATTCATGACATTTTGACAATCTTCAATTTCTTCATCTTCCACAGGTAACTCTTCGTCAAAACTACTATTTATTGGTAATGGCGGTAGATTTTTCAATATGGACGTCGCACGAGCTTGAGCTTCAGCAGATATTTTAACTTCTTTATTGGAGGCAGTTCGAAAGCCTAATTTTGGTTCTGCATTGCTTTGCTCAAAATTACATGCGTTAGTATCCATCGTATGATTTGCTTCTGAAGTTTCAATTTTGTCTAACTTGAATGATGAAGCCGCATCCAAGGCAATACCCATATCGAATTTCGCAAATATATCACATTCATCATACCATTCATCGTTTTGCTCGTCATTATTTGTATCGTCTTCTATATTATAAAAACAAGGATTACAATGCATATGCTTTACATGAAAAAAGGTAAATAGCGTACCGTTAGGTGTTAATCTATCACAGTTTTGTTTTGATGTGAGTCCCCAATCGACGCTAGTGTCCTCTTCCTCACTGCTAAAGCCTTTAAAGTCTTCTTCGTTTGAAATATGTCCAGTGGGACTGGTTCTAAGTTGTTCCTCCATTTCCGGTAGCACTTGTTCTTCTTCGATCTGGATGCAATCATCTTTTACATTATCCACTGTGAATAATATGCCCGAACTACTTTTCTCTGCTAATGGCTTTATTTCTAAATTAAATTGTTTCTCCGTTTCCGCCAATACTAGTTCTTCTTCGAACTGCGTACAATCATTCTCTGCTTTGTTCGCTGTGAAAAATACGCCCGAGCTACCTATTCCTGCTATTGTCCTTATTCCTAAGTTGTTTTCCGCTAATTGATGGTCTACAAATTCCATACATGTATCTTGTCTATTATCTCTCCCCCCGGACAACTCAGTAAAATAAGCGCTCAAATTTTGTAAATTTTCGCATAAACTCTGTGAATTTTGCAATAAGACGACTTCTTCTTTCACAGGTATAAGTTGAGTTTGATCCTCCTGCACCGAAAGGTCGGTAGATGAATCATAGCTTAGCAAATCATCATTAGGGATGCAATGTGCAACACTATTGGTGGACTTGTTATATTGCTCAGCAATATTTTGACGTGCCATTACGTTTTCGTGTTTATGTCTGCTGTACGTTCGCAATGGTTTATTAGCAAATCGGAAATTTAAGTTACTCTCCTCCGAGGACTGCTGTAGTTCTGGAGATTGTGGCGAACCACAGAAATCTTCAAGTATTAAATCTACTATCGACTTTGTTTTTCGTTTAGGCTCCGGTGTTGTAGGCGAATTATCTTCATCCATTTTAAATTGTTTTATACTTGACAAATCGCTGGTTTTCTTTTCCGTTTCTTCGCATACGTGTAGCAACTCAGAATCTGTGATTTCAAACGCATCAGTCTTATTATAATTGATTTCACTAATTTTGTCTTCTCGATGTTCGAGAGATTCAAATAAAAAATTATTGCAGGGCTCAAAACCTTGTGTGGCTTTAAAAAGGCGAGAGCTGCTAGGCATTGCACTACTCGGATCCGCAAGGACAAGAAGACGATGCTCAGCAAATGGATCGTAACTAATATTCACTTTTGGCATTGCCTTTTCGTTGCGCGGACACTTATTTTTATTAGAATCTTGAATAGTCTCGTCGGAGTCATACATTACCAAAAGTGTGCAGGATAAATTTTCTTCCTCATCTTCATGGTTACATGACGATTCTGCAGTTACGTTAAGCCTTTTATGTCTTCGATGTAAACGTGATTTGTGTATGGAGTTATTCAATTTCCGTGGACTAGAGTTAATACTTTCATCAGCCATCAAAGAAATAGTCCTCAAAAATATTTTTAATTTAAGAAATAAACAAAATTAGACTTTCAAACACTACTAACAGACAGCTGTCAACTACACTGACAAAAAATAATGTAAATAATGCAGATAAGTGAATCATCAAAATTATTATTTTCTACATTTTTAAATATATCTACAAATTCTCTCCAATGTAACAACTAACTAGCAACAACATCCGAGCGATTGAAAGATTGTAGAAATAACTTTAATAATAAAACATACAATTTGTACAATGTGTTATTTCAATGAATGCTTTTATAATGCATGGAAACTAAAAACTATTTAAAAAAAAGCACATAAAAATTATGTCCAGATGAAGTAAACTATATAATATATTAATATCTTGTTTGATGAAAAATTAGAAAAATTGCAATCGACATAAATACAAATAATTAATTATTATTAGGTGGCCACATCTTTTGCCTTACTTCTGAGTGGCCACTGCTTTTCACGTTGCAATACGTGCCCATTTTCTTTGCTCGCACGCAAGTTCGTGGCTCTAGTCTACAAATCGTTTTTTCACAAAATAAATTTGTTAAATAAGAACTAAGTAATTTGGTTCTACTAAAAAAATTTAAGAAACTAATATTTTTGTTATGCGATTGTTAAATGTTGTAAAATAACATCAGCACCATAATTTGCTATTATATTATTAGGCAATGAAAAAATGCAGGTAGAATAAGAGCAAAGAAAAGTGTTAAGGCATTAAGTGAAATTTTGGAGAAAATAGAAAAGAAGGAAAATACATGAAACAGCAAAGGAAGTAAAGTAATCAAACAAAGAAAAGTGAAGTGAAACAAGGCAAAGCAAGGCGGAAAAACGATTTTTTGCAAAACGCACACGCAAACGAAGACGAAAAGCGAAGCGAACTAGCGAACGGACGAGTTACGAGCAATTGAAAATTGTTAACACGGTAGGAGAAGTGTGTGGGATAAAAAAGTGAAAACTGTTTATTGGGCGTCAAACGGTTCACATAAATTTTTAGGTAGCTGATAGTTTACTTTGCCGCTTTTCATATATATTAATTATACATTGTTAATATTTTATTGTCTATTGATTTTGTGAACAAATAGTGAACTGCTATACGTGCATGAAATATAGGAAAATCATAACTGAGTAACTGAACGTGCGCCGGTGCTCTATCAAAAAGAAAAAAAACTTCAAAATTCTTAGCTACGGCAGCAATTCTTACAATAACGCTTATAACAACTCTATCGTCACCACAACGCTCCATAAGCAGCCCGCAGTGCCGCCACTACCACCTCCAATTATGTTTGTCAATTCGATGACGTTTCGCGGCAATCCTGCCCCCAACCATCATTACGCTGGCCACCCATTGGCTACGGCACACCATCCGCAACAACCGCAATTGCACCATCATGCTACAACTGGACAAGCTGGCGGGCCAATGGCTCACCATCCATCGGCAGCACATGGTACGCATCCGGGTGCCCATCCCGGCACAGCCAACAACAATATTCACCATGCCGCTTCGGCTATGAATCGTCATGCACCTCATGCCCCAATGGGTATGGGTAGCGGCAACATTACTTCAATGTCGCCTCATATGCCAAACAATGGCAGCGGCATTCCAGGTAGCGGCAGTGGCAGTGGTGCAAGCTCTAGCTCACCGGATAGTGGTAAAATTTATATCAAGAATTTGGAACGCTCCATTGACAACAAAGCAGTCTACGACACGTTTTGTGTGTTTGGTAACATTTTAAATTGCAATGTTGCCAAAGATGAGGATGGTAATTCACGCGGCTATGGTTTTGTGCATTTCGATTCAGAGGAGGCTGCACGTATTGCTATTTCAAAGGTGGACGGTATGTTGTGCAATAATCAGAAGGTGCAAGTAGTAAAATTCATACCACGCCGCGATCGTGAACAAGAAAAGGCATCGCAATTTAGGAATCTCTATGTGAAGAATCTTAGTGAAGATTTCACTGATCAACATTTACATGAAATGTTTGAACCGTACGGACGCATAACAAGTCACCGGGTAAGTTACAGCCATATCATTCATTAATATATGGTGCAGTTGTAAAGCAATGTTAACTAATTAATACAATTTTAATTTTGCGCAAATGTCAAACAGTAAAATTGTGACTATGTTATTAAGTTATTGTTTTTATTTTATTTTTTTTATTAAGCTGCCAACTATGTATTTACAAAAATATTTTTAGTAGTTTTGTTTCCCTGCCATAAGTGCCCTCTGCATCTGTGTTACTCTGTTACACAATTTTTCCTGAATGCTCCTATGCTGTGGTATATTCAGTTTAATGTTTGCTTCGCAACAATATAGCGTTGCGCATGTCCTTGTTTATGCCTTGTGTCATTCCAACTGCCACCCTCCTGAACACCCGTAACTTTACTACCCAGGTTAGGCCTTGGCTTGATAACTAATGGTATTGGTTAATCATGCATATGAAATTTGTGATTGGTTTAAAAACAACTTTTATTGAATTAAATTTTCAACGTCATAATTAAGTTGTTAAAATCAGAAAATAAATATTTTGATGTTTGTACGAAAATAATAAACGTGACAATAGTTAAATGTATTATAACACAGTTTGGTTCGAAAGCCAACGAAAATGAGAGAAATTAATTTTAATTTCAAAATTTTGGATTAAAAATTAAATTTAAAATTTTTAATTTTACCATTTAAATGTTTTGGAATAAAAATTGAGCATTTAATTTTTTTAATTTAAAAATTGTACAATAGTATATAAATTAATTATTTTTCAAATTAAAAGTTGGGACAAAATGGATAAGAAAGGAAAGATTTACATAGGTATATCTAACTGGAACATTATAAGTTATAGCAATTAAATAAAAATAAGAAAAAAAGATGTTATTTTATTAAAAAACCTTCTTCTTCAAAAGAAAATTACCAAAACGATGGAAGACGAAGTACGCAAACGCTAAAAAATTATTTTCTTTATTTATTTGAATTTTTTAATTATAAGCTTGGGATTAAATTTCGTTTTTTCAATCCGGTTTTTGGGATTACAATTTTTTTTTTTTTGAATCCAATTCAAATAATTAGTTTTAATATTTTCGATTTAGACAAAAAAAATTATTTAATTTAAATGTTAATGTAATTATTTTTGACTGTAGTTTCTTAAGTGCGCTTTTCTCGCTCTTGGTACATTTTCAACTAACTCGGTATTTTTTTTTAAGGTGATGCTCGATGAAGAAGGCCGTTCTCGCCGTTTTGGTTTTGTGGCTTTTGAAAGCCCACAATCGGCTCTGGCAGCTGTTATTGGTCTAAATGGTAAGCAATTAGGAGACAATAAGTTCTTGTACGTGGCACGTGCACTGAACAAAGTTGAGCGCCAGCAGGAGATCAATCGAAAACTCGAAGAACGTAAACGGCAAAAAGCTGGCCAAGTATTCTACTATTAAATGGAAAGTATAAAGGATGAAAAATTAAAAAAATTACATTTGATGCAGATAAGAATTAATTCTGAGCCGAATATTGATTGCGAAGTGGATTAGTGATGAATGTTAGTTTCGAGCTCATAAGGTGGTAAGTATAAGAAATATGTTTCAATGAAGCATTGGTGAATATGCTTCGCTGCTACAACAACAATTAGCTTCACAAAATTTAGTTGAATCGACGAAAGTTGATAAATGATATGTGTGGATACATAATAACTTTCGCAGGCGAGTCGATACAACTTGATGGAAAGAATTTTTCGAATATCGTATATAATTAAGAATTATTAAAAATTTAAAATGAATATTATAAAATTACCAACTAAATACACATACATACAAACAAATACATATATGTACATGTAGAAATGTAAAATTTAAAGGAAATTATGGGATTTTTCAATTTTGGTTTTGATGTTAAATGAAAGTTTACATTAGTAAAAAAACACATAAAAAAAATATCAAAAAAAAATGTATTGCTTATTGTTAACTTTTAAAAACTAAAAATATTCCGCAAGCAAAAATGAAAAACAAAAAGAAATCAACTACAACAATGAAAAATGAAAGGAAAAGTAAACTTTATATAGAAACGCCGTTTAACGTTGATTACACCGTAGAATTTATGAATGTCACATTGAGAATATCTCAATGATTTGCAACTAAAATTAAACATAAATTTAACTTCAAATTAAATGACATATGTATGTCTCTATCTATATATATATAAATATTACTATTATAGCTACTATTACAATTATTCATGCACTCCTCCTAAATGTACACAAATAAACAAAATTTTACACACAGCTTCTACAAACACATAATCACACACTCACATACACACATACACAACCACGTTTGCTTATATACATACAAGTATGTATATGTAAAATGTATAATGAAATTTGTCACGAATCGGCAAGAAATTAATAAACACTCTATTGAAAACATAAAAAAGCACATTTCATAAATTTAAAGCAAGATATAACGCGAGAAACGCTAATATTAACATGAAAAGTACATTTATATTAAATTACTCACTTTGCAAAAAAAAAAAAAAACTAATAATATTTGTAATATTAATGATCCCCAATTCCATATTATGTGTAAGAGTATTTAATTGTATTGCAAAAAGTTAAAAATTAAAACAGTATCGTAATATTAGAAAAAATGGAAAAGTGCGTAGTAACAACGTAAGATGTCTAAAAACAAAAACAAAGGGAACAACAGAAACCCAAATGCAAAGAAAAGGCAACAAATTTTAAGCTTAGTTGTAAAATCGATTCAAAATGCAAGAAATGTGTATTTACTGTAATTAAAAAGGCGAAGAAAAATAATACTGGCATAAAATAAATAAATAAATATAAAATGATAATAAAAACAAAAAATACATGTAATCAAAGGTGTAAAAAAAACAAAAACAAACAAATTGCAATGACAAAAGGTAAACAGCATGAAAACATTAAATTAAGCGACGAGAAAAACAAACGCAGAGCACAGAAATCCAGATGAAGTAAACAAAAATATGACTAACAGTAATTTATTTTATTCTAATTAACCCAAAACAAATACTGGTAATAGGAAAAAAAATTATGATTGAAATTATTATACTAAATGTTCCCAAAAAAATTTTAACATTTAAGTTCTTAACGTAGACAAAATGTATAGATATTACACAAAGAAACACACAAATGAAACTAAATGTTTAAAAAAAAAACGCAAATAAAACAAAAAACAGAAAGGAAATTAATGAATTAGCAAAGGAAAACAAAAACAAAAGAAAAGTAAAGTAAATGCATATACATATGAGAAGCAGCAAGAAAAAACTGAAAAAAATTTTATTATTAAGCAAATGAAAATTTACTATATATTTTTACTAGACGAAATGCAATTGCAGTTATTTCCATTCAATACCCCTTTTACTCCCCTCTTCCCTTACAAAATCTATAATTACAATATGATTGAAACAATGTACACATGTTGTATAAATATTTAACTAGTAATTATTTTTTTATTGAAACCAAGATGTTGCAAAAATAACTTAAATTATGTAAAACAACCAAACTGTAACGAATTGAATACAAACAACTAGAAAAGCAACAAATAATTTAGAAAAAAATACTAAATAAACAAAAGTGGCAACCAACAAAGTAAAAAATTTAAATTAAATAAACACAAAGACAAAAACAAAAACAAGAAAAGTAAAGACAAACGTAATAACAATCGTATATTACAAACAGGCCTAATGGCAGAATCATAGCGGTAACAGCAGCAGTGGCCACAAAAAATATGAGAAGAATAAGAAGAAATCAAATAAAATCTACGCTTTTACATTTTAACTTCATGGGCAGCTGGGGAGAGGGTGAGACTTTTTTCTCTTTAATCGCCACTGCCATGCCCAAGAATCGTCATTGCTGTCATTACCCTATGATTCGGCTGTACCATATTTATATGTTAAATGAAAAAATAAAATACTACACATATGTAAACAGCTCGAAAGGTGAAAATTTTTGAACATCACTTAGAGCCATTTTCTATTTTTATTGCAGTAAATTGTTGTAACATTTTCGAATTTCTCTACAAACAAGCAATTGGTCTCGTAGCTATTCGGTTAACCATCTTTTTAATGATTATTAACCACATACTAAATGTACATACATTCATATCCTTTTTTTTTTGTTTTTTTTTCTTAAATTAACTTAAGTATGACGCACTTCAGCGACAACTATGTTGACTTTATTATATATGTTTTTTTTCTTTTTTTTTTCTTATATATTCATACATTGGGATTTACATTGACAAACTGTTATACAAACATGAATAAATAAATAAAAAAAAATAATAATACAATGGGAGTGATAAAATATTGAAATGTCGGCAAAAAATAAAGCAAAAAGAGAATCGACAAAGATTAAAGACATCTAAGATGAGATAAAAAGTATTACGCCTGAGGTATAATGCAGAAGAGTACACAAGCAGCACGATTGTGTAAATGTAAGGCAGTTGCAATAAAAAAAACCATATACACATACATACATAGAACGTGGAATCGCGTTAAATAACCCGTCATGGAAGGCTTTTTTTTTTTGTCTGCATTTAATGCATATAAATATAAATGAATTTTAGCCTCGTGTTTGTCTGTTTTGCGATTATTATGATTGGATGTTTCACAGTGTCCCACACCCTCCTAAAAAAACACTCAAAATATTTTCACATTGTGAACGCCTAAAAGCAGGTCAATAAAAAAGTGCGACACATTTACATGTCGATCTGTTCACTGCGTAAATATGCCGTTAATGTACAATTTGCTAAAAAAAAAAATATAAATAAAACAAACAACCATGTATCCAATTTCAAATAGCAGCAACACATTAAATTAATCAGTGCAGTCAGTAGTAAATTTTTTTTAATAAATTGACACAGCGAAACACCTACACACCCACACATACACAGGGAGAATATTATTTCAAGCGATGCAAAACCCAATCCAGAAAGTTGCGTGCTTCATACCGATATACACAAGATTTATTTATCTATGACCATATATACATATGTATGTACTCTTCGTATTTTGTGTGAGATTGTGCATTTACAGTATTGCGATTTGCATCGCTTGAAAGTGACATCGACGATGTCTTATATACAAGTAAATAACTTATATACACACATTCATACATATTAATTCCATCAACTATCTATATAAATATAAAATATATAAATATATATATACTTACTTGAAAGTGAAACAAACAAAAAAAAATAAATAAATAAAATTAAATAAATAAAATGCTTTTGCAAAAAGTGTTTAACAAAAAAATAACCGATTTTTGATTTAATTGAATGCTGCTAGCTGTTATTGTAAAAATTACACATTTTTTACATATAAATTAATTTTTATTTCCTTTTAATTATTTTGATAAATAGATTTTATATTGGTCTGCGATATGATTTCAGTTGGTTGTGGTCATAATATTTATGTATTATATCATACATATTGGCAAAGAAAAATAGTAAATTATCGTATTGTCCGTTATAGGGCGCATCACGTACCACATTTGTAGCCTCCGCGTCTACTAAACGCGCAGTTTCGTAAAAGCCTTGACCAATTTCGAGATTATCTAAGCCACCATACTGCCTATTGAGGCCCCAAGCATTAACATGTACTTCCAGCAAGAACTGATGTACAGCTTCAACTGTAGCGAGATACCAACGTGGACTGCCACGTTGATGTCGCCAAAATTGCGAAAATCGGTTTTGTAGAACTACCGTGGGCAAACCCTTTAAGCGTTCATCCTTATAAATACCGCGGCTTTGATTCCACGTGCTATCAATGAATATAGCACGTTTTACCGGCAGATTATCATATGTATATACTTTATCTATATATTCTTCGCCCTCTTCTGGTTCGTCTTTGATTTCATCTATGCGCCATCTCAACATTGTGCCTATGTTGTGACCTTTCGGTAAGCCGTAATTATTTTCAGTTTTTAATCGTACACGTTGATTGAAAAGCTGCGGTACCGTTAAGCTTTTAGCACTTGGAAATATAAGTATGGCACCATCCATTTTTGAGTAATCAGGCATATCTGGATATGCATAAACATTCACACGATCCCTAGCCAAAACTGCAGCATGTGCTGATGTGCTCTTTCCGTCAATTTCCTTTTTATGCTTTATGATATCGATGTCAATTGGTATCTCTACATGCGGTATGAAATCACCCACATTTCCAACTGGTACATAACAGTTATAACAATAGAATTTACGTGAACGATTACATTGTGTGCAGGTAAAGCGTCCTTTAATTTCATCCAATTGATGTGTGTCGTCTAGGCGCATTTTAGCAAATGGATATTTCCTTGGTGCTGAAACATTGTCCACAGGGTGAGTCATTGCACAGAAATTGTATTATAAAAAATTACAAATATTATATATCTGTTTGCAACTTAAATTTAATTGTTTTAATTCAATAAAATTAGGAAATTGTAAACACTTGTTTCGGCGCCACCTAACTGGGCGAAATCAGCTGTGTTTGGTAATTTCTGCAATAATAGGTATGTGTGCTACTTATCGATGTTAAGTGCTTTAATTTTTTAAACAACGGTATAAGACTTGTTGTTATTTCTTCGTTGAAAAGTATAAATCAAAAAATAAAGTGTTTTTGCCTGTAAAATTCTTAATTAAACAAAATCAAACCATTCAACTTATTACACAATCTACGTTTCAATTAATGGAATATTCTATTATTTCATTAACGTTACACTGTGGTAACTCTCAATTACGTTCCTCCTATTTGCTATTTGCTTTTATAAATAAATTTCAAGTTTATTGTTTTCCATTGCTTCTCATTTCGGACACACACATCATAAAGTTGCGATTATTTTTTCACAAATCTGGAGAGCAAAAATTAAGTGAAAATATTGTAAGCAACCGTGGAAAACGGAAAGTAGTTAATACGTGTCATCATCGTTTATAACATTTTACTCCCCGAAATTCTTATCAGTTTGCCGAAACAAAAGTTGTGTGGAGCAATTCGAGTACCTCCAACGCCAATTCATTAATACATCGCAGATATTTTGGAGTAGCTGGAAGAGGTAAAAAGAAATTGTTCAAACATATTACATATTAATAGAAATGCTAATAAAGAGCACAAAGTGCAGTGCGGTGGGAGGCGATCAAAACTGGAATCATGTAGCAATATTAATATTGTATATTTACTATATTATTTTAGGAGAAGCAAGCGCAAAGTATATATGACAAGAACTCTTGTAACTATAATAATGCAATGCAATTCTATTGAAGTTTTGATGCATTGATGCATACATTTATATATACTTACATATTTATATGCATCCGTTCATACCCTGTCATACGTATGTACTTAGGTGTATAAATAGTACATTGCTAATCAACCTGCATACAAGTTGCTAATGTCCATATTTTTGCTGAGTATGCAATGGAATGATGGATGAGATACTCAAGTGTCATATCTTACTAAATTGAAATTTGTAAAAATTATTTTGCAAGATGCAAATACATATTCAGTTGCATAAACACAACATATGTGAGCTTTGTTTGAACTTGTTTTGATAATCAGTGCTTTTAGTCTACAAGTTTTATACAATGTTCCAAACATTTTTCCAAAGGTCGGTGACAGATTGTGACCTATATGTAATTGCCTTATTCTACCTACTTTAACACAATATTTAATGATTTTTATAATATTTTGTTCGCCTACGTTAATAAAAGAAGAAGGTAATATGCATTAATTTTAAGCTTTTTATATAATAACAAATAATAATACTATATCCGGACTTACATATGTACGTATACATATATATATATATAAACCAAATTATATATATATATATATAATATTTTTTTTTCAAATTTTTTTGGTCTAAATTAAATGTTATGCGTCCTTGTGCGTTTGTTTTGCTTTTCTTATCTCTTTCCAAAAAAAATGTAAAGAAATACAGTGAAATGTTACAAAATAATGAGAAAATAAACATACAAAAAATAATAATTAAAAGTTGTCATAATGGGGGACATTTTTGCAAGCTGTTTACAATTTATGTGCATTGTCTCGGGTTCTGCTTTGTTCAATTCGCATTTAGAAATCTTATCAGTAAAACGAGACGTGTGAAGAAAAAAATTGTGTTTTTTTACGAGCCGTAAGTACATTCACTTTGTATAAAAATGTGCACAATTCAAAAACTAAAGCTACATTTGAAGGAGTTTATATTACTGCTTAGTTGAAGTTAATTTGAAGGAAAAATAAAATTATTTTGTACGTATGTATATTTTGGAAAATTATCTTAATAACGCCCCTATATTGTAATTTTTTATAAATACAAAAAAAATATATATATTGATGCGTTCCACTCATTTCTTCGTGCATATGTAAATATTTATATTCGATTGATTGTGTACTTAATTGTATACTTTAACTACAAAAAAATAATTGTTATAATATTTTTTAATGCTTGTGGAGAAGACACGTCATTTATATACATTTTGTTTTACGCTGACACCACTACAAATTGGATAAACACCTGATAGCCGACTCTCACTCGCCGCATATTTATTTTTTTTTTTTTTACAGTTACGCCGTTTTAGGTTATATGCTAGAATTAATAAAGATTTTATTTTGTATTTTGTCAGTTAAACAAGCAATGGGTGATGAATTTGATGGTTGCGAGTGTGTTTGGTCGCATGAGTACGCAATGCAGCGACTATTAGCGATGGTGAGTTGAAAGCCTTTTGTCTCAAAGCCTTTTATATTTGCAATAATAGATGTGCGCACTAATTTGCATCAATCGCTTTTATTTAATCAATTCATTCTTTATCTTTTCTCTTTCAGATACGGCAGAGCCAAAATCATTGCACAGATACGGAATGCGTCGATAGTAAGTTTCTGGTGGTTGACATTTCTCAAATTTATTGTTAATAAATTTATGTTTTTTTTTAAGTATCGGGTCGCATACGTGAGACCACTACAACTGGCACTGGAAATGAGGAAAATAACTTCACTATGGTTACAATGTTAATGATCTTTGCTGTGCTTATGTATTTGATACTTCCGGAATCGATCATGAAATTAACAAATACAAAACGGCGTTCGCAAAAACAAGATCCTAATGGTGGTTTGCCACCACCACCGCCGCCACCGGCACCGCCTGCAGTCAATTAATATTGGCGCTTCGTTTCGTGCACACTGAAAACACTAAACTTTTTGTCTATCAACTTTAATTCAATACAAATAAGTTAACACCACCTATTCTTTCCAAGTATAATTCTAAATCATTGTTCCCTAAGGGTTTTCTGTCAGGCGAATTTACATTGCAACCGTTCTAAAATTATTAAAAGATGCTTATAATGGATTATAATGGGTTTAAAAACAAATTTCTGGAATAATTTAAATTATTGTGCAATAAAAATTGAAAATTATATAGGCATGTGATCTAAATTATTGTGCAATTAAAATTGAAAATTTTATAGGCATGTAATCGATCACGCAAAGAAAATATATTTATACAACTTTTAAATCATTTGTAAGTTTTCAAATAATACTTAAACTTTTTCTGTAACTTATGCAAACCATTCCATGCAAGGATTTCTCAAATGAAAATTATGAGCACCAAATTTGCTCGCAAATCAATAAGAATATATCTGTGTATATATTAGCATATGTGTATGTACATCTACCTGTAATATATTTGATTGTGCGAATGTATGAGTAATGTGATTTAAATGAAAATTTGTTTGGCTCGCTCTTGGTGTATCTTAGAAGCGTGTATTAACATAAAGTGTTCTTTGTGAGAAACATATAATTAAAAAAAAAACTAAGACGATTTAGCAAATGCCACTTATTCAAAGCGATTAATGTTACCACACACATATATAAATGAATGTGCGTATATACATCTGCGTATACATATCTGTATAAATATTTTATTTTTGAATATATATTGCAGCTTACATTGTATATCACGAACTCGAAGTAGATAGTTGGTAATATTTCTTATGTTAAATTCATACACATAATCTGAATAAATAAATTTACAACTACTCACATTAATACTATCTATTTCACACATAATTTTTATACCCTGAACAGTGCATATTAAGTTTTCCACGAAGTTTGTAACACCCAGAAGGAAACGACGGTAAACCTACAAAATACACAAGTATATATAAATGATATCTGTCTTTGAGATACTGATCTGAAATTTTGCTCACTTCCTTTTAGGCCCACATCTGTTTTTCGCGCTTGTCGAAACATATGTCTTACAAACTGATCCATCGAAATCCAGTTTGGAAAGCTTACGAACTTTAGGCATGGATTATTGTCCAAGCCAACTTATAAACTGACCGATCAAAATCAAGTTCTTGTATGGAAATCTTTTTATTTGTGAAGGGTATTGTGGCTTCGATGCAGTCAGTTTTTTCTTTTTTGAAACAGTTACTTTTTATTGTTCACTGTGTCGTTATTATGGATCCATAAAGCAACAGTGTTCGGAAATAGTTACTCGTTTTGTAGATATAGGAAAATATTGTTCGTGTCTTGAGAAACAATTTTTTTGTACTATAGAAATATTGTGGTAAAAATTGATTTATTTTCAGTTTTGAATGAATAAATTGATGTTTGCGTTACAAAGATATATTTAATTACATAATTACACTCATTATATATATTCTACTATAATTGATTTGTTGTTAAAATTAAGTAACGAAATTCCTTTATAGGAATATCGGGAAGTTTTGATTCTCTAGTAAATAATTTAAACATTATATTTTACAATTATTATGTATTTAATAGTAAAGAATTAACCACAAGCACACGTTCACACAACCATTCAGAAATTTACAAAATGCAATTTCAAAACGAATCATATACTTAAACAAGCAGTATATTCATATTCGCTCTTTATCAGTCGTCATCGTCGTTATGCAATTTGGTAACGATATTTCGTACTTTCTTAATAACTTCCTTCATTTGCTCATATTTGCCCGTTGAATCAGGCAGATTTTCAAAATTAATAACATCACTAACACCCACTTTGAAATTGTCGCCAGCTGGTAGTTTTTCGTATGGTGAAAAATGCAACACTGGTGTACCCATGTGTGATTCCTTAATAATATCCAACATTCTTGACATATCATTTGTCGTAGGCGTTGCTGGTTCAACTGTGTGTATTTCGTTTAAATTTGCTGGTTTCGATATTTCACTTGTTTTCGCTTCATTAATGCTAGTTGCCAGTGAGAGTGATTCTTCAGTCGCGCTACTTGACGACAAACTGTCAATATCACACAGACCAGACTTCAATTCAGCGAGTAACTTTTGTTTGCGTTCCTCCAAATAATCCAACGTGGGCGAACTCGTACGTTCATTTGTAATGCATGAGCTGTCTTCATTCGTTGCATCGTTTGGCGGTGTTGGTGGTGGTGGCGGTTTAATGTCGTTTGCGGGTTCCGGTGGTGGTGGAGGGCGAGTAAACACAACATTTTCATTGACTGCGTCGTCGTCCTCAATTTCCATATCGGCATTGTCCAATATGCTGGTTTTAATCTCAATCACATTAGTCGTTTGTGGTAGACTCTTAAGCCTTTTATGTTTATAACCTTTTATAACATTACCTCCCAATTTATTGATGAACTCTTCTTTTCGTTGATGGCGAGACAAAGGCGGTACGTTATGATGCTTATAGTCCTAGAATAATTTTAATTGAATATAAAGTCATCCACGAATTAATGAAATCGAACTTACATCATAGAAATTCGGACCAGGATCAACATTGAATCCTGGAAAGTCTACAATTTTTGATATGTCATATTTAATCTCATCGCTTTCTTGTGAATTATCTTCCTCTGATGCCATCACTGCGCCTCCCTTCAATATGAAAAAAATTTCAAACGTATTGCTTAAACTTAAAATATGTACCTTATGTATATATTGTTTTTACTTACTTCTGTATTGATTAGGGATATACCAGAATACACCACTTTAGCCTCCTCCAACCAACCGGGTGGATAACCAAGCTTTCTCATACGATAGAAAAAGAATGGGAGTTCTCCGCGCTTTAAACCAAGTGCTGACTGTAGCTTGTCACTAATTTTTCCTGGTATTAAATGTCCGAATCTTTGTTCAATATCAATATGATATCTCTCTTGTTTACGTGCTAATTTTGCACGGTTTATACGCGCGTTATTTCGTGGTTTAGCACATTCACGTAATGAGTGCCCACTTACTCCACAATTAAAACAAGCCGCTGTTGTTCGCACCCTTTGACACTCGTTTTCCTCTTTTTCTAACTTTTGCCGTTTACGTGCTGAAGATTCTTCATTCAAAACATCTTTAATACTACGTTTGTATGAAGGTACACATTGAGTGTCTAGTTTTTTCGAGCCAGAGGTATCGATTGTAAATAATGAGGTCAAATCTAAATCCGGCGATTCATTACGATTATCTGACTGGTGGCGCTCAGGTACTTCTGTTATACTAACCGCCTCTTCACAATCACTTAATTCCATATCTGAATGGTTGGCAGCCGATTGTTTTGCTATATATGCGTTTATACTACTAACTGTAGTATTTTCAGCATTCGAAATGCTAAATGCAAACATTGGATTGTCCACTATCATATTCAGAGTCTTATCAAGTGAGTCCAGTATTCTATGTCCATATTCTTTGAAAACATTTTCACTTGAAAATTTTATTTCAAATGCCAATGTTTGTTTACTACTTGTTGGTTTACATATTTCCGCAGCTTCTTGTGCTTCCTCCACTTCTCCTTCTTCGAAATCATCGCAGACAATTGCCTTTTTAACCGTGATAGTAGCCGGCAATTTTGTCTCAAGAATTTCATTCATACTGGTATCCGAAGTTAAATCAACTGTGCTGGTATCACGAGCACGGTCATCCAATTCTTCATTATCGCTATCCAATTTGATTATATCAGGATTTTTATCCATTGTGATTACAAAAATATACAGAAAATCTTTTAGGGAAAGTAAAATTTTGACAGTGCTTAAATTGAATGGTGCTAATATTGTAGAAACGAAGTGGAATCAGAACAGCACAAGAAGCTGAAAAAATATAACAGTTCAAAATTGAGAATGTTGCATTTCACATCTTTTTAACAATATAATTTAATTTAATTTACATTGTCAAAGTTGATTATATAACTGTTTTAAAATGTTTTAATACAAGACTTCTACTAAATAATAATAATATGGTGGAAGTGAGGGTTTTAATGTGAACATTTAAAACTAGTAGAATGTATTATATACTATATTAGTTATTTTAAAAATTATTTCGATTTTTTATTACTTTGAAACACACTGTCTGAGGACATTACAACAAGCAGCCGTTAATTTGTTAGTCCACAGTGTTTTTATTATCAATTTTCTAAAATTCAAAGCAAGATTGCTAACCTTTCACTGATAATTTAAAACATAGCAGTGCTTACAGCGTATAAATTGCTTATAAAATAAAACAAACGAATAGTGAAAGTCTTTAGTCCCGACACAATATGACAATATTGTTCAAGCTTCACCCTTCGAAGTCATTATAAATATTTATAAAACCGTTTCAATCTATGCATCGGAGGTTTGATGGAGTAAATTAAGTCAATTCAAGTTCCTTGTGAGGCAGCAAAGATACAAAAATGCTCAATCGGCACGACTGCGGTGCTTGGCTACTTATCATTATCCCTTTTTTTCTTGCAATAATAAAAAAAAAGCAATTTGTTAGAGTTTGAATTATACAATCTTTATTTTACGACTAGATCCAAAGAAGTTTCAATTTAAAAGTAATAATCATATAAAAATCAAAATTAAAAACAAACAATATAATGTTACAATCATAAAAAATAAAAACCTTAATACGCGTTATGATATTCAATGTATGTATGTAAAGTGGAAAACAAAGTAAAAAAATCTTTAGCTATAGTTACGTTTGTGTTTGTGGACGTGCGTGTATGCAGTTGCAAACATATTTTTTAGTTATATTTAATGCACATTAATATTAATGTACATAATACAAGTATATACACATGTACATACATATGCATGTGTATATATCGTATTGTCTGTAAGCTACACACATACTATCCGTCATTTGTGGTCTATTGAATTTACATATGAGCTTATGTGGGGAGTTGTTTTTATTGTTTGTTGTTATTATCTTCTTATTTGCACAGTATAAAAATCATCGTAACGATAGTACAATATACAATATCATATATATATATATATGTAGGTATGTTTGTATGTATATAATTAGTAAAAATAACTTAAGAATATTATTGCAAAAATAATTTACAAATTAAAAATACTTTTATGTTTTCAATACAATGCATTCGTAGTATGTTTTGCATGTATATATGTAAAGTTATTAAATTGTAAAAAATTAAAACCTCACGATTCGATAGCTACTACTTATAGCACGTAATCAATAATTTACGATAGTTTAATTTTAACATAATAATAATTATATTAATATAAATATAATTACAAATTAATACAAAATAATAATAAAAATATAATGAATCATCTATTTACATCAGACATTTAAAATACTTGTGTTTGTGTTTTTCCATTATATTTATGGTATATATATATTTCGCTTGTTTGTTGTTTGTTATCGATGTCGATTAAATCGATTTGTTGCATTTAAATTAAATTTGAATGCAATCGGATTTTAGCTTTGTATGCATTTTTTTCGTTTTTACGGACACTGTGTTTTAACAAATTGCGTAAATGGAGTATTATTTGAGGCTGAAGTTATTATATTTGTTTTTTTTTTTGGAAATACTTTTGTAAATTATGAAAGCTTTAAAATTAACCACTGGAGACGGATATAGTAAACGCTAGCGAAAACTTCACACACATTGTAGTTTATTCAAAACTCACATTTTTAAATAATTTTTTACATTTAACATTTTTGTGCATAAACTTAGTTTTATTTCATGAAAAATATCTGTACATATAGAAAATGTGTGTCTATTAATTGCGTTTTAATTTTTTTTTCAATTTTTTTTATTTTTTTTGTTAAAAATTTGCTTTATGCAGACATCAAAGTACATCAAAGAACAATTTGAAAAGATTATGTTTGCTTTAAATTGAAATTATAATTATTTTATTCACTTTTGTTTATTTCATTAATTTTCCATTGATAATATGTATGTGTGTTTCTTCTTAGTTCTTTAAAAGTATTATTTTAAACAAAATTTAATATAAAATTCCATAAATTTTTTTTTTCAGTATTCCATTATTCCATAATCTATATTCATGCTTAGCTGCCAGTGTCGTCATCGTCATCATAGTCATCATCATCACTCCATTCATAATTAACGTTGTCATCGTCAGGATCTCATTGCCATTTTCGTTATACGGTTATACATCAATTTTATATTTATCGCCTTTATTTGATTTAACATTATCAGTGTTCCAGTCCAAGTCGTCGTTTGATCTACATAAAAAAGCCAACACAATCGCACTATCCACATTATGTCCATACAATCCACACACACTGCAACCGTCGCATGAACGTCGTCCGCAGGTCGTCAACAATGAAGCTAGTAGAACGCAGTAGAATGGAACACCTTACTTCTTGCCGAGAGTGAAGCGCCATTCATTGTATTTGTCCATCTCTTCGTGCAGTTGTAAAGCCTCGACGCAGGCGGCGAAGAATTGTGAACCGAAGCAATCTTGCCTGTGTGTGAGAATGTGAGAACAGTTGTCGTTAGTAATGCAATGTTACTGTAAATTAAAAGTTTTAAAAATTCAAAAAATGTTTTGCAAAAATTCTGATTCAAACGCAACAACAAAAAGTGCGTGTTCAATTGGTAGGCAACAAAATCGAACAAGTTCCGCCAAAAATTGCTTGGATATCTTGTTTCTAAGATTATATATTGACGATATACATTTATTATTATATACTTATGTATGTGTTCATAGTCAATAAATTGTAAAAAAAATTGTATATAATTATTTGCACGTGTACATATGCATATTTATGCTAAATTGCGACTAAACAGCTTTGAAAAATTGTACTTTTGTATGTATGTATGTATGTTTTGTATATGTATGAGTTCGTGTATATTATTGACTAAAAATTTCAGAAGTAATAGTCAGATATGTTATTATATGAAAAAATTAAAAAAAAAAATTGATTTTAAAGGATTTGGAATTTTATGTACATATACATATAGTATTAAAAAAGTTTCATATTTACAAAAAAAAACTTTATTGCAAAAGTTCAAAACTTATTCTCAAAAAAATTAAAAATTTGCAACGTTTTCTATAAATATGTATTTTATTACTCAAATATAGCCTAACTTCAGGCGCACGAGCTTACTCCACCTTTGCAGTGTGGATAAACAAAATTTTCGTTAAAAAAAAGCAGTATCTCATGGGACCATTCAAAAAACTAAATACAAATATTATTATATACAAAAATTAAGGTAAATAAAAATGAAAAAAAAATTAACATACCAAAAAATCAAAAGTTCAATGTTGTTGTTGTTATTGCACTGGTACATGTGTGTGTTTGTAATTGTAATGTATTGCTGCGCTAGTCCTGTAAGTTTAAAGTGCTGCAAAGCGCACACAGACAAATATATGTCACATTGTGTTTTGTTGTTGTTTTTCGTTGCGATCTGTATTGTTGTAGGAAAAACACATTATCCTGATGGTCACATGGCCTCGCACTCCAGTGCTGCCAAGGTCAGCTGCTTGTGCGCTTGTTTGGCGTTGTTGCGGTTGTTGTTGCCGTGGTTCATCTCTATTTTTTCTCGCCTTTTTTCAACATACTTTCTACTACATATTTATGCTTGCTTGTCGTTCTACTACTTTATCACAATAATTTCAGTAAATATTTGCTAACAAATTTCTTCAACATTCACATACATATCCATAGGTACATATATATATGTAGGTGTGTGTGTACATATGTAAGTCGCTATGTATGTGTCCGTTTCATTACCATAACTTGATGCCATCTTTTTTCGATTTTAAAATATTTTTAAATTTTTTTAACAGTTTTTTTTTTTAAATTTGTTTTATATATAGTACATAACTTTTGTAAACGATTCTAGCATATATTTATATTTTATATATAAAAGTATTTAATTATAAAAAATTTAGAAACTCTTAAAAGTGCCACAACTGTCTTAGTAGTACATTCTCGATGTACCTACACTGAAAAAAATAATCTTGTAAAAATGTTTGTATGTATTTTTGTTGTTGTTTGGAAAATTTTCATTCGTGTTTTTTGAGTGTAAGTGGATTTTTGTGTGCTTTTCACAAATTGCAAAATGTTTAAAAGAATATTTAGTTGAGTTTATTTTTAATTTTGTTTGGTAAAAAATATATATTTTTAAAATTTATACAAATAACATTTTTACTAGATAAATACTTACTGGAAAGCACTTACTATAATAATAGTTACACATTTCTTCATGCATTTATACCTACATATAAACTTGTATATACTAACAAACACATGTAAATTAAAAACTCAAAGTTATGTTTAGTGATTTTCGATTGATAAAATTTAATAAAAAGTACGAACATATTCATAAATACAAAATCAATACTTTTTTAGTATGTAATATTCCCGAGACATGTTCTATGCTTGTGTTTAAGCTGTTAAAGTGATGTTGCGTAGGTTGAAATTGGATTAACAGTACTGCATTTGAAACTCTGTTCAACTACAGATTTATGTAAGGTTAGCAGAATTGCACTTGAAATCCTGTTCAACTACAGGTCCATGTAAGATTAACGGAACTGAATTTGATACGCTGTTACTCTACAATACTGCATTATACGAGTATTTCTCTTGATTGTCGCATGTATTTGTGCAGAATTTTTCACTAGACTGTACATTTTCCGCTACACTTAGTACTATTGCGCTAAGTACAAATACAAAACGCGTTTTTTGCAAGACTGTTATTTTTAATTTTGCTTTAGTTTAGTTTTGTTTTTTGTTTTCACTCCTAAAACTTTGAGTTAATAGTTTACAATATTTTTCACTTTGTTCTTATGTCTCTTTTGTATAAAGTTATTAAAGTTACTTATAGAATAAATAAGTTTATAAATATATTGAATTTCATTCTCTTTTCTTCAAAGTATTTTTTTTGTGTTTTTGTATTGTATATATGTGTGTGTTTGTGTGGGTGTGAGTTTTATTTATATCTGTTTAGATATCTTTTAAGGTTCTGATTTGTTATTTAAAATAAATTAAGCATATTTTAAGCATAAACATAATTAATTACATATGTATGTAATAAATAACAGAAAATCATAAAACTCAAATGAAACTTAAACCATCGTAAAATACAATAATAAATAAGTACAAATTAATTGGAAATTGGAAAGTTTTGCATCTAAACTAAAGTTATGTTGGGACCGACTGTGGGAATGATATTGGAGAGCCGTTAATCACTTTAATAAAGTGCTGTAATTTCGAAATCTCTTCCGTTGGTATTAAAAGCACTTTTAAGCATTCTCCAAACCATTTCGAATCGAAGCAGTTTTTCCTAAAAAAAAAAAATAAATAAAATAGCAACATAAGCGTAAAGAAATTACAAAATTAACAATTATATTAAATTATATAGTAAATGAATGTATGTAATGGTAATAAATTGTAAATTAAAAAAATATTAATAAATAAAATGACTGAAAATACTAAAATAAACTAAAAAATTAAAAAAAAAAATTTTAAACATAATTTAACATAAACATAACCACTTCTGTATGAATAAAATATGTGGAGTAATTGAAAACGGATTTTATTTTAACAGCACAAAAAATAGAATCGTTTTAAAATAATTAAATTTTGTATGCCAATTTACTCATACTAAGGTTGTGTGTATGTCTGTAAAATATTATATACGAAACAACATGTAAACTGGGATTGCACAGTGTCTTTGCGATTTAACCACAAATAATAAATAAATAGGTTTGCTTAAAATATTTTGAAAGCATGAGCTTTAATAGCACTTAAGGTAAAATGAATTTGTATAATTAAATTTCACGATTACTTCCAGCTAAGTACTATCAAATATGTAAGTATGTTTGTAATTTAAAAGTATTTATAATATATTTATGTTGCTGTAATCACTAATTCATTATTTTCCGCATCTCTTTATTGCATATTTGTAAAAGCAAATGGTATTGGCGAACCGTTTACAACTTTAACGAAGTATTGAAGTTGGCTAACTTCTTCTTCGGGTATCATTAGTACTTTGAGACATTCGCCAAATGTTTCGTGTGTATAACAATTTTGCCTGTTTAAATGAGAATAATGCACGAAACAAATAATTTATGGTTTGTATACTAGCTGAAAAGGTTATCGGATAGATGTAGGAATAGTAGGATCATAAAGGGTGACCTTATTTGTCTTTTGTGACAGTATTACATTTACAAGAATGTTTCAAGCCCTTTTATTAAACTTGCATGCAAATAGTCGTATGGAAACGACTGTCAGATTAATTTTAAGGGTCATAAATTTAAAATAATAACAATAATATATAAGGTAATGAAATGCTTAATTTACAGTAAAGTAAATTTGATCTAAAATATGTTAATTTTAATTAATAACCTACGGATATAGCCTATTGTTTTGTTTAAGCTTTACTATAAAGACTTCAAGTTAAGGCAAAATTCACTATGTGCCAGAATATTGACATAAAAATATAAATATTATCTTGCTTAAAAAAGTGAGTTATGTTAAATAATATATTGTAATATTGTATATAAAAATTTATAATATAAAATTATGGCTCTAGACTTAGAAATAAAATGCTATTAAAAAGATAATGAGAGTTATGAGACTCTTTTTACTTAAACTATTTTTGAGAATATTGCAAATTCTTCATTTAGCACTATGTAAAATACTTTTTACCACATCATATTAGCCGTCTTCGATACGCCACTTATTTGCTCGTTATGCTTGAGTTCTGCTCGCTTGTCACCATTGAAGTCATTACAAGAAAGCATGTTTATAATAAATTATTTGATTCACTCTTATGTGATTTATAACTTTTGTTTTCTCTTTTCGCTACTCTCCGAGACTTGGTGAATCGAAGACAACTTTTTAAAGTAATTAAATAATACTGTGGAAGCGAACCACGATTATTTAAAAATTGTGCAATAACTGTGCATAGCGCTAAATATGAAGTAATATACTTTTACTAATTAGACGTCAGACTAGCGTAGTACTCAGCTTTCTTTAAACACTAAACTTATACCACAGTTATTGCACCCTTTTAACAGATTATCCATGAGTCTGTATCCACAGTGTTAATTAAATAACAAAATGTGGTTAGGTAACTATTTATGGGTCATGATAGGCGACCACTTACTTGCATAGTCGGTGTATACTTGTTTCGCGGAAAAGTTGATAGCAGTCTTCGCAAATGCGATCCAAGCGGAAGAACATTGTTTTGTTGAAGATTCCTTTGCACTCTAAGTCGAAGAAATTGCTTCGCTTTGACAAATTGTGGTTGTTGTGTGGCAAAGCTGTGATAAGTGGAATCAAGACAAGAAACAGCACCACCGAGATCTTAATGTTGCGGGAACACATCTGTAATGAGATTGCAGAAATAAAGGATATGAATAATTAGTAAAAGATATGGTTAAGAAAATTTCGGAATTTAATATTATAATAGTTATAATATGGTAGGATTTTAAAATTTTGAATAAAAAGAAAATTTAATTATTTCTAAGAACTTGAGTTATATGTAAACTAGGTAACTTATCTTGTAAAATATTTTTTAAGTACAAAATGAAATTTTATAGGCATTGTACAGACACTAAATGTTATCGATTTTGAATCGTGCAACGGGTTTCTATAACAAAAAGTGTTATTGTTGTGCAAATTTTGTTATGGCTTAATTGAACAAGTGATTGATATAGCAAGTTCATATGTCCTAGTGTAAACATAGCTTAAGCTTCATCTGTCACAGTGGTTAGCAGGCTTCCGGTAGTGAGAAAAACACAAACTATCTATAACACCATTATTTTTACGGCGATCAAATAAATCAATAAAGTTGCAGCGAACGAATGCAGTTCGCGGCACTCACGCTACACCTTGGTCACGGGCGTGATATTTATTTGTCTACTATTCTTAAATTTTTTATTTTTTTTGCTTTTGTCTGTTTATGGTTCGCTATTTTTAAAGTTTGTCTGCCATTGCTGTATTCGTTCGATTTTTTCGCTTTTTCCGCTTTGTTTGTAAAAGTATTTATAGCTGCGTGCTGTCTGTCGTCTGGCTGGCGTATTCGAAGAATTGGGTAAATGGATATGGGCCAAGTTAAACCTTGAATTTTTCGTGACTGCCCAGCTACACGACTATTGTCGATTCCTTTTGTCGGCAGCAGGCGTCTGACTTCTGACAGCTAGCGACCGGCCGGTAGCCAGACGGCGTGCAGTACGTGTAGTTGCTTTGTTGAGCCGGTTAGTTGCGACTGACCGATCGGTCAACACGACACGGCAGCTTGTAGACTTGAGCGCTTGTAAGCGCCTCATAGTCTACATTCTCGACATATAAACATTTCGTAGTATTATCTACAAGCGGCAGACGCCTGCATGAGCAATACTATAAATAGCACCTATAGAGAAATACGTCTGTGTGTGGTGTTGTTGGGTTCAATGGGTGGCATTGCATAAAATTGTATTGCCACATTCAAAGGCGTTACCGACAACATATATCATTTTAACATGTTATGGTTTTTTGTTAATTTTTTTCCTGTTCTACCTTAACTCGATCTGGTTAGGTGAATTGATCGGTCGCCCATTGAAGTGGCCGCCAGACGATGTTATCTCTATGCAAAAAGGATAATACAGACTCGCCGCATATTCGGCATATTCACATACGTATATACACATACATATGGATATATTTTTAGTATAGAAGCCAAACCCTCCAGTCAGCTTACGGTTAGTTGTATTTGAGTCGCAACGAGTCACGATCTGTGGGCAGCTCAGCAAGTGTGTAAAGTTTTATTTATGGCATAAGTTGTATCTAAAAATAGCGTTATACTTTGTAGTAGTTGGTAAGAATAATATTGCCAAAGAGGCAAGGCATCGCATTGCGGACTTGTTTTTTTATAGTTGGAGTATGAGTTTACAATATTATGAATTGCAGATTTAATCAATGGCTTGCAGTCTTAAAGAAAATATAATGCACATTATTTTATAGGAAAAGTGGGTTATTTTTAAATGTTAAATTATGACTTTGGAGGGAGTCTATAATCTTGGAATTAGTGGTTATATATAAAGCACGCCATATTTTTGTATGTAAAGATATTTATGGATAACAGTGCATATGTATGTTTGTACCATAATAAAGGTGGCTTTAGAGTTCTGAATAAAGACGTGTCAAGCCAATACAAATGTGAACATAATCTAATACTAAATAATTTTAAGCATAAAAAGTTCATTTTACAGGGCTCCTTTGTAGAGTATACAAATTATTAGCGTAATGATCTGACTTATTTTAGCCAGTTCGTCTGTTTCTTCCTCAGCTTTTGAGATATCGATCTGAAATTTTGCTCACATCCTTTTTTTCCCAACAAACCGCCTAATTGTCATAACCGCCGATTTCGGACCACTATACAAACGGATCGGTCAAACTCAAGTCTTTCTATGAAATTTATTTTTATTTGACAAATTATTTTTATGAAATTTAGCATGGATTATTTTCCAAGATAACGGTACAACGTACGACCCAATTGTTCAGATCGGATCACTATAGCATATAACTGAAATACAAACTGCTGCAAATAAAGTTCTTTGTATATGCTTTATGCTATAAGAAGAACACTTGTTAAGGGTATTACAGCTGCGATAGATACGAACTTAACGTTTTTCCTTGTTTCTAAATAAATTTTGGCTCAAGCATTGACAATATATCTCTATAATCAAATCACTCGCTAATTGTTTATAATTCTTGTTAACTTTTATGTTAATCAATAGAACAGACTATCATGTTATAAGATTAGTTTTTTAAGGTACTTTAAAAAATTTATTGATACCGAGAAAGAGTTTTTTGGTAAACAGTTATTTAAAACTATGATAGTATATGTTATGTTGAGAATTTACAGATTGATTCTAAGCTTCTCGAAGGCATTTGACATTTCGTCATTTTGACGCATATTTTTTAACCAAACTTACTTACAGCAGAACCGAACTAATAATACAGCAACAATATGTTTTTCTAAAAGAATTTTTATATTGAGCTAGAATTCTTATTTAACAGTATCTTTCAAGTGAATCTTTTGCAGCGCGAGATGCTATCATCGAATTGTTAAATAATTCCGCACAAATAATTGCACGCAAATTCTTTATATAATTGCATGTATGTATGCATGACTACATTTTTATTAAATTACAACACACATTTAATGAATCTTTTTATATAATTTGTAAATTGCAAAATCTGATAAACAAATAAAAACACATAATAATTTTAAATTTAAAGATGAAGTCATGCGGCGGACGCTTTGAAAATAATATAAAAACAAAAATATTAATGCAAACAGCAAATAACAAATTGATCAACGCCTATCTATTTGTTATAAAAGCACAATTTTATATTTGTAACACACACACAAACACATATGGTACATATGTGAGCACAGCGTGCACGCGCGTCGCATAGAGATCGCTTTCGCATTTGGGAGCAGTGCGTCAATGTAAATTAATGAATGGCCAGTCGCTCGCTCGCACATACATATATATGTGTGTGTATGTGTTTAGCCTGTGTTTACATGAGTCTTAATTGAAATGGCATGCAGATAATGCTGATGCATCACTTTTAATTAATATATTTTATTCGACGACACTATGGCTGGCTGTGCCGCTGCGCCCAACGATGATGAGCGCTGAAATAATGATGGTGCTGCTGATCACATAAATATAGTACATCTGTATGCAAATGATGATCACAGTCTTATAGACGCGGGCGATAATAATTTGTATTTCAGCGATAACGACCGATGATGCAGCACCGTGTGCCGCACTTTATTTGCATTTGTGAAAGACGCAATTCATTTATGGGCGCGACGGCCGAATCGCCGCCTCCGCCGCATAGCGTCACATAGTCAATGTTCTGACAAGCCCCCCTGAAAAAGGGTACAAATACAATAATAATAATGCTGTTTAGCATGCCGATTGGATGGTGTGGAGCGAATGCCGAAGTAGTGACAAGTGCAAGGAAGCGAGTGTCGGCAGCTTCGTGAGCCAAAAACAACGGAAAAAAACGCAAAAAGCGCGCGAAATGCCATAAAAATACATTTAAAAGCACACATACTAACATATGTATTTCAACAGCATACGAATGGTCAGCTAGAAGAAGCGCTGTGTGGCGCGCAGGGGGGCGAGAAAGCGCGTTGTAAATATGTGCCCGATATTATTTAGTGTATGTATGTGCCTGTGTAACTTGAATTGCGCGCGCTAATCGTGTTAGGCGTGCTACGCGTAGCGCACAACGCTTCTGCAGCGCGTATGTGTATATATGTGTATGTGTGAAATTAAAAATACAACACACGTCCAAGCGGTTTCGTAAAACGCTGCCGCGCCACGCTGATATGCGTGGCAGGTATGTAAATACACTAGCGTTTAGGTGATATTACAGTAAAACCCCTGTACACATACAAACCTACACATATACATATACATATACAAATATATATTGAAATATTTTCCCCACACATTCATATCCTCATTTGAGCTATTTTCAGTGCGCTCTTTGAATACTCATTGCTGCTGTTGTAATTAATGTGCTGCGCACCAGACTGTTGTGCGCCCACCGCCGTGTGGCAAGTGTGTGTCTGCTTGGAAGCAGCGACAGCGAGTTCGCCGTGACAATTTCTCAATGAATACACGATACTTGTGGCAGACATTGTGTCTAAAATCAAATAATTGCGCTAAATATACACCGTCTAGAAAAGTAGGTACACATGTTATTTATGTATATACATGTGTATGTAGATATGTACATATGTTTATATATACTATATGCTAAAAATATAATTTTTACTCAAAATATACTGCTGTACAGTTTTAAGAGTTTTTGTTGCAAATTTTAATGAGTTTAAGGTTATGCCAATGATTTTTGTTACTTAAAAATAAGAAACATAGTACTAAAAAGTTAAAAATATGTATGTTTGTAAAAAATTTAAAGTTTATACTAGCACTGGCAAAAAATATTGAAATATAAATGTACTGTATACCTCTACTGTCGGTCATAACTATTAGCCAAGAATATTAAATATACGCAATACTGTATTTTTAATTATATTTGTTCTTTTTTTTAATATTTTTTTATTTATTTTATAAATGTACATACACAGGGTTGCAAATAATGCATTTAAAAATAATTGAATTAGCATTTAACATAAAACTTTTTTTCACTTTTTGTTTTATCATTTTGAACTAGAGCTCGCACCACAGAGCCATCATATTTAATATTCTAGAGTAATGGTCAACAAACTTTCAAATTTAAACGATTAACATTTTATCAGTTTTTATTAAATTAATTTTTATTTTTTTAATTTTTACCCCAGAATTAGAATAAATAAT